CCCGATCTGCCGACAAACAGCTGATCGGCAGATCGGGGCAGCCATTTAAATTTAAATGAAGCCGCGATTATTTTAATCGCGGCTTCATTTCCCCCTTCCGATCTGGCTAATCTACATGCCTCCGTCGAAGGAGGCATGTAGTCTAGACACACCCTAAGTGAGCCCAAATCCCTCAGCTTCTCCTCATAGGTGCTCCAGCCCCCTAATCATTTTGGGTGCCCTCCTCTGGCGCCTCTCCAATGAGCCCACATCCTTTCTATACGGGGCGGGGGCAGAACTGGATGCAATACTCCAGATGTGGCCTCACCAGTGCTGAATAAAGGGGAATAATCGCTTCTCTAGATCTGATGGAAATGGTCCTCCTAATGCACCCCAATATGTCATTAGCCTCCTTGGCTACAAGGGCACACTTGACTCGTATCCAGCTTCCCATTCACTGTAATCCCCAGGTCCTTTTCTGCCGAACTGCTACTTAGCCAACCTCTTTGTATTTCATTTGAAAATTGGGGAAAAAACCCTACTTGCCCACTTCCCTGGGAACCTGGCTAACCCATGGCATGGCACAGGAGAAAGCCTCTTCTGTCTCCTTTCAATTGCTCCCCAATCTGTTTGTTGCAGCGCCTTCTCCCTCCCTATGTACTCTTCCCCTAACCCAAAGGGAGAACTTTGTTTGTACAGGGGAGCCAACTGTACCACAGGACAGAGCTGGCTGGCGCATGTGGCACAGGGCTCTGGAGTGTGCACTGTGGCACTCCAGCCACAATTCTAAAGGGCCTGGAGCTCTAGCAGCAATTGCCCCCTTTGCCTTCCCCGTGGACAGGCCTGCATTTGAGAAAGCAGCAGGAAAGTAAGCAGTGGGTCATGTACCAGATTATGGGGTAAGTAAGATGAGATACTAGGGGGTAAGCAGAGACACCAAGCAGTCCAAATTCATGTCTAACTTTCCAAAATATCATGAGATTATCTGTAGCATGATGAGAGGGCTTTTTAAAAATATCAAGCTCGTTTTGCTTGCCCTTTGTTTTTCAGTCAATGATTTCAAAATTTGACTTCACAACCAGGAGGACTAGAAATTTGATTTTTTTAAAAAGAAAGCTGAAATTCTGATGCTCTCAAATGGTTCCAGGAGCTGTTGCTTTAAGAAAACACTAACATTGTGAAATTGAAGATGAAATCATGAGAACTAGCAATGTCAAGATCCATTAGGGGTTTGGGAGGCCAGGGTACACAATGGTATGCAAACTTCCAGGTCTTGTGAGGTAGGGAGGGTGTTATGGGCATTTTTGTCTAGGGGATGGAGCAGGAGTCAGGCCTACTGGGCAGAGGGAGGACCAGAACTGGAGTCAGAGTCTGAATGCAAAAGCCCAGAGACAAGGCAGAATCAGAGCCAGGGATCAGAACTGGCAGTCAGAACTGAAGTATCTGGAGTCAGGGAGGCAGGAGCAGATTGCATCAGGATTGGAATGAAGCTGGTGCAGGGTAGGGTCTAGGTTGGATCAAGGTTACAGTCTCGATCTAGGCAGGAACAGATCTAGGATCAAGAGAAGCATCAGGAGGCAGAGAATCTGTAGGCTTGGGCATTGAGGAGCCAACAAGTTCCTGCTGCTGGATGTAAGAGCCAGCCTTTTAGCTTGCTCAGCCAATCAATCAGAGGGGTGTGCTAGGCAGCCTCACTGGCCTATGTGACCATCTTCCTGACAGCAGGGAACTCTGAATTGTGTTTGGGGACCTATTCAAACACTGTTAATGCTCCTACCCTAAAGTGAGACAACCATAGATTAAGAATGAGAGTCAGGATAATACCTTGCAGTTCTCCCATCCCAAAATACTTGGCAAATTGATATACAAGGATCTCTAACATGCAGCACTGAAACAAAACTTTCTCCACAATGAGACTCAGTAGACATATTCTGCAAATGATAAGTCTTTTTGCTTCTAGATCTCTTTTCCATTTGTGTGTCCAATCTCCCTGTGAGATAGGCCAGTATTGTATGTAGCTATATAGGGAGGAACAGTGCAGCTATCCAAACTGGTGTTTAGCCAAGATGGCTGGGGTAGTAACATTCTCAATGTTATGCAAAGTTCTGAGAGAGCTTTAATGCAATGAATATGCATGTTGAGGACTTCAGTTTCATGTCATACCCAACACATGCATCTCAGAAGAGGTCTTATGGTCTCAGGATGAAGGCCACAATGACAGCATAGGGCTTCAGTTAGGAAACGTATGAGTACAAAATCTTACTTGAGGGTGCTTGGAATTGAAGGCCCTGCATTCAGAGCATCTGTTTTGGAACAAGGCTACAGGGCCACAAAGGGTTAATTGCAATAGGCATGTAAGGCCCTGATTTGGGGTCTGTTGCAATGGAAGGGTCATGACATGGGCAAGGTGGCCCAGGGTTCTATACAAATCTTTCTGTGGAACCTGTGTCAGAATTGTTACGTTATGTACCTCAAGTTTGCCCTCTGTAGGTAAGTCTACACTAGCCACCCTAATTCAAACTAGGGTGGCTAATGTAGTCAATCGAACTTGCAAATGAAGCCCGGGATTGAAATATCTCGGGCTTTATTTCCATGTTCCCGGGCGCCGCCATTTTTAAATGCCCGGTAGCTCGGACTCCCTGCCCACGGCTACACGCGGCATGAGCTAGGTAGTTCAAACTCAAGCCCCTAATTACTCGAGTAATGGTAGTCCAAATTAGGGGCTTTAGTTCGAACTATCTTGCTTCATTTGCAAGTTTGAATGACTACATTAGCCACCCTCGTTCGAACTAGGGTGGCTAGTGTAGACATACCCTGTGAGATCTGAGAATAATGATGCTACTTCTCCTTTGTAAAGTGCTCTGAGCTCTATGGATAAAAGCATCACGTAAGAGGTAGGTATTGTTATTGCTAACAGTAGTAATTACTTAAAAAACAATGAATGGTCCTGTAGCACCTTAGGGTATGTCCACACAGCAACATTATTCGAAATAACTGGCATTATTTTGAAATTATTTAATCCATGTCTACACAGCAGGCAGTTATTTCAACATAATGACAACATTCTGTCAAGCTGGAGGACTTCTTACTTTAACTCCTGTAACCTTCATTGTACAAGGAGTAAGAGAAGTTGGAGGAAGAGTGCTCTGTTTCAAAATAAGTGCTGTGTAGACGCTTCCTATTTCGAAATAAGCTATGCAATTGATGTAGCTCAATTTGCATAGCTTATTTTGAGTTAAGCCCTGCTGTGCAGACATACCCTTAGAGAATAATCAAAAATATATAGATATGATACTATCCACATTTTTGGTTAGTCTCCAAGGTGCTACAGGACCATTTGTGTTTTTTTAAGTTTTTTTAGTTATAGGCTAACACAGCTCTCCCTCTGAGTAGTAATTACTATTATTGATATGTGGGCCACTGGAAAAGGTTGTCTGCTTTGGGCTCCCTTTGGACAGGTAGGAGGTTGGTGCAGAGTTGCTGCACAGAGTCACTGAGTGCGCTGGCAGGCCACTGCGTTCATTCCTCCCGGGCACAGCATCACTGACATTTTTCTGACAAGGTTTCTTTATGAATAGGCAGTTCTGCTGGATTCTGTCTGCATTTCCCTTGAGCCTGTTCCAAAGGAGAGCACATGATTTCACTTTTCATTCACTAAAGCATGCAAATCGTGGTTGCAATCTTCTTTCAGGCTACAATTAGGGTCAGATGAGTGAGGGCAGTAGAATGGTAGGGTCTGGGTGCCAAGGGGAACCTGGGGTATGTCTAGACTACAGGGTTTTGTCGACAGAAGTTTTGTCGACAGTATCTGTCGACAAAACTTCTGTCGACATAGAGTGTCTAGACACATTCAGTTCTGTCAACAAAGCAAGCTGCTTTGTCGACAAAACCCTGTAGTCTAGATGCAACCTTACAGGCAATAACACCTTCTGTCGACAGAACTCTGTCGACAGAAGGTGTTATGCCTCGTAAAATGAGGTTTACCAGCGTCGACAAAACTGCTGAGTTCTGTCGACGTTATGTCGACAGAACTCAGCGGTAGTGTAGACGCAGGTATAGTTTTGTCGACAAAAGTCCACTTTTGTCGACAAAACTCAGTAGTCTAGACACACCCCTGGTGTCTGTGACTGGTGGTGCAAGGGTTCACTTGAGATCTCGGCTGCTACCATAAGCTGCCTCTATATTAGTGAGCTCCATCACTGACACATTTAGATATCTCTTTCCAAAAAGGAAGAATTTCAGGGTTGAAAAGAGCTAAGTACACAAATAAATCTGTGTTTAAAATTGAAATCCTGATTATCAGAGTGATTATTCTTATTTAAAGTTCATTATTCTAATCACATTCTCCAAATAGCCATTGAACAGTATAATTTAACTCAAATTTACCTTCTGAATTAGTTACAAAATTGAAATCACTCCAGTTTCCTTCTACTTGGAGAAATTCCTCTTTCTCTTTCCCAGCTTCTAACTCTGTATTTCCTATATCTGCCATGCCCATGTGGTTATGTAAATGTTAGGGTGATGAAAAAAATCTCGTTTCTGGGAGTTGTATCTTTAATTATAAAGGGTGAGATCCTGGATCCACTGAAGTTGATGGTAAGACACTCACAACTGTGAAACATTTCAAAAATAGCTGGTATGCAGATTTTGCCACTGTGCACTCCCACCTTATGTTTGTTCTTACTTTATTTAGTTGCTTTCCTTACTCCTTATCATGCAACAAAAGACTGAATGGGAATGTTCTGCTATCTGTGGATGGGAAATAGAACCATTTTAATTAGGCAAATGAAAGTATTTTAAGAAAGAGGGCCTCCCACTTGTATGTCATTAAAATGCATTTTCAACATTGTTTGAAAAGGTAGATTGTATAAATGGTTGTACAGCAATAAAAAACCTAACCTTGCCAAATACTGTCACTCCTGGGACATACAATTTGTAAATTTCTCTACTTGTGTGTGCATCTCTGTCTATATCGCCTTCTCTTTCATACCTGGAGTGCTCTCATCTCCTCCTTCGAAATGTTTCCTATACAATAATTATAAAATAATAGCCAGCAGTTAATACTTCTCAGCTATAAATGAGATATAAAATGTGCACCATATGCTGAACTTCTAAAATATCTTTTTATATTTGGCCCAAATATTCTCACAGCACCATGGTAGAACACCATTCTGGAATATGTATTCTTCCCACCGTATTATTGACAGTGTGACCTCTAAATATCTAATCTAATCTATATGTCTTGGAATTTGTACTATGCTCATCAGTGTGATACCTGTGCTCAGATACATACTAAGTTTGTTTACGTTTGCCTCATAGCTTTGCCCCAGGATACAACTAGCATGGGTGTGGAGGTGGTGATTGTTTTTTGGGAGGAAGTGAAAGGTTGTGGGTTTTTTTTTGTTTTTTTTGTTTTGGTGGTTGCAGGGTTGATCCTTCATTCCAGAGTGCACAGAATCATAGAGGTAACCAAGTTCAAATTCACTGTATGTTGTAATATTACACTTTTGCCCTGAGACCTTCTTATCCTAGTATATGACAACTGACCTCAAAACTCTCCATTCTCACCATAGTTAAAAGGTGTGTCCCTGGTATTTTTCCATTAGAATACTTATTTATAACTTTTTAAGGTTGTCAAATAGTGCATAATCTAAGCATGCTGTTATTAAAAGCATGCTTTATTTATATAATAATGTTCATATCAATGGATCTTGAAATACTTTAGAGATGTAGTAAAAGTGTTACAGAAATTGCACGCATAATAGTGCTGTAAGATTAGCTAACAGATAATAACAGAAATAATTATAATATTTGCTTGGTAGTATAAATCATAGTTATACTGGAAAATGGTATACCCCTATGGTTTGTTTGTTTAGGTTTTTTTTTTTTTGCTAATAACTTTTAAAGAAATATTCTATTTGTGTTTCCTCTTGGAAAAAGAGCATACTAGTCTCTATCTTCAAGTGTGAAGGAGATGTGCAAGAATATTGTAATTACCAATCCATCAAGTTCATTGTTCATATGATAAAATTATTAGAAAAAATTGTTGAGAAAAGATTTTGTAAGGAAGTGGAGCTCCAAGTAGGTGACAACCAGTTCAGGATATAGTATTTGAAACCTGAATATCGCGAAAGCGGCAAGGAGTCCTGTGGCACCTTAATATCGCAGAAGTACAAGGAGACATGCAAGGAATTGCAGTTAGTGTTTATGGCTTTAGGGAAGGCTTACAACAGAGTTCCTAGAGAACAGCTACGGTGGTGCCTGCAGTTGAACAATTGGCGAGCATATATGTTTAGTCTATCATGGACAAGAACAAGTCTAGTGGAACACTAGTGAGAAGAAGCTTTGGCTGAAGTGAAGCATTCTCTATGGCTACGTCTAAACTACCCCCTCTGTCAGCAGAGGGATGTAAATTAGATGTATCAAAAGTGCAAATGAAGCCAGGATTTAAATATCCCATGCTTCATTTGCATAATGGCGGCCGCTGCTTTTTTCCAAAACGGGGCTTTTAAAAAAAACCCGGCAGTTTAGATGGGGCATTTTCAACAGAAATGCCCTGTTTTGACAGATCCTGTACTCCCCATAATTGTTATTTTTTAAAAATTATTTTCTCTGAAATCTGAACTTAAACTACACCCTGACCAAGAAAGTTGGGCCTTGACAAAAAATAATGGACGACCCCAGGGCTATGCAATGAAATGATAGAAGCTATTATGCAGGAGGCAAAGATGAGTTTGTATTGACTGAGATGATTGAGTCACATGAAACAACAAGACACAGGATATATTGATGAAAGAGAACAAGGTATAGTGGTCACAGACCAAAGATCAAAGGAAGACCCAGAAAATAGTAGTTCAGAACACAGCAGGAGAATATGAAGAAGCAGGGATGACTGGTGGGGGATGACATGGGTGGAGGGGGCACTGGCCATATGACATCCCCCATCCCAGGGAAGGGCTGAACAACCCCTACACCCTGGGCCCCACCTCCCCCATCCAGTCTCTGACTCCTCCCCACCTCTTCCCCCAACTGATGCAGCCTGGAGAACTAGCAGGGCCAGGGGCCTGGCACCAGGAACAGCGGTCTCTTCTCCTCACCGGCAGTGGCATGGGAAGCAGAGCAATGTGGCAGCCCCAGCTCATTCTGCTCCCCTGGCTGTGTTGATCAGATTCTCACCGGTGAGTGTGGGGCCAGTCCCGCCCCTCCCAGGAGTGATACGCTGGGAGAGTAGAGAAAACCGGAGCCGCAATTAGTATGCTTCTTCCACTGCTGCCAGTGGGAAGGGGGGGGGGGGCAGTTGGACACCTGCTGCAGGCACCAAACCCCCAGCCCCTCTAATTCCCTCAGATACCCAGGGACTCTGGCCCTGCCAGCTGCTACCAAGCCCTTTATCCCTCCAGCCCATGGTGTTTGGGGGGGACATGTGCACCTTCGTTCCCTCTACACATCACCCCATGAAGAAATTTGATATCAGCATGAAAGATGAACACAAGAAGAACTCTTGGAGACAAAGACAAAAGCGACTGACCCTAACTGAGAGGACAAGGCAAAGAAGATCCATAGAGGCTGAAAATTTCCATTATGGTATGTAACTTGGGGAAAATCTCCTGTGTCGTTTTGGAATTCTGTGTGTCCAAATACTGTAAAAAAGAGAGAGAGAATATTTCCACACTTTGTTTCCCACACGGATAATGAAAGTCTATACAATGCCAGTAGGTAGTATAAACCAATTCATAAACATATCTCAGATATTATATTTAGATTTGATTACATCATCTCAAAAAGGACATAGATTAAAAAGTTTCAGAGAAAAGCAGCAAAATTAGGATGGTAAAAGCCATAGAAAGAAAGGTTTCCACATGAAGAGAAGTTTGGGGGAAAAAACAGGCAGTGATGTTTTAGAGATGAGATCTGTTATGACAGGAAACAAAATTTGGCTTGGATAAGCCAATAATGTTATTTGTTAATGGCAGAAATTGGAATAGCAGATTAGATGGCTATTAACTGAGCATTGACCAGGAATTAATGTTTATCTGTGATTGATACATCAGTTATAAAAATTAACATATCAATCGCAGGACATAGGGAGTTAAAGGGGAAAAGTTGCTATTAGAATGACTCTTGCCTCATGAGCTAAAAACTATAACTTCATGATAAATTTGACAGAGAGGAAGATGTGAGTGAAGAGACCGCATTTGTTAAGCATGTCTCTGGATAAACTCAGTGACTCCAGAGAATGTAGTGTGGAAAAATGTCCTTGAGTGAATGGAGGACGCCCAGATGGAAAAACACACTAGTCTCTCTCTAGACACTGGGTCTGGATGATGGGCCCATGGAACAGGCCATCAATCATTTACCTACAGTATGTTTGGGGCAGCCCCAGTAGATTTGCCATGTATTCCACAACTTTAGAATTAGAAGCTGGGAGGTAATGAGGACCCCCAATGCCAGCCACCCAACCGCTTTCATGAGGAATTGAGCACCTGGGAAGTTCAGTGCATTACAGGAAGAGGAACCACAAGTCCCTACTACGGTACCACATAGATTTGGGAAGTGAGGAGTGACTCCATCTCAGCAATAGACATGACAGTCCATATGCAACAATCACTTATAATCAAGCATCCTAACTTTCTTTCCTTCTAGGTATACTTGATCCTGCCTCAGCGTGGGGGGATGAACTAGATAACCTCTTGAGATCTCTTCCAACCCCACCTTTATATGATTTTTTCAACTCTCCCATCACCCTCAGAGAGCCCCCAACTCAACCCTGTGTCCTCCCTGCTAGTTCCCTCACTCTCACCAAGCCTTTCCTTCAAACATTTACTCCAAACTGAAACCCCTCCTTGCTATGGTACCCTAACCCAGGAGGCATCTGATTAGGAAGGAGATGGATTGCATGGTGTTCTTGGGTCCAGGCAAAGTTAGGAGGGTTTCTAAGTGGATCAGGGAAGGTGTGGGACCCTTACTGGATGAGGGAGGTAACCTAGTGACAGATGATGTGGGAAAAGCTGAAGTACTCGATGCTTTTTTTTGCTCCTGTTTTCACAGACAAGGTCAGCACCCAGACTGCTGCACTGGCCAACACAATATGGGAAAGAGGGGGCAGCCCTCCGTGGAGAAAGAACAGATTAAGAACTATTTAGAAAAGCTGGATGTACAGAAATTCATGGGGCCAAATCTAATGCACCTAAGAGTACTGAGAGAGTTGGCAGATGTCATTGTCCATTATATTTGAAAATTCATGGAGATCGGGAGAGATCCCAGATGAATGGAAAAAGGCAAATGTAGTGCCCATCATTTAAAAAGGGAAGAACAATCTAGGGAACTACAGACCAGTCAGCCTTACCTCAGTCCCCGGAAAAATCATGGAGGGATTCCTCAAGAAATCCATTCTGAAGCACTTGGAAGAAGGGAAAGTGATCAGGAATAGTCAACATGGATTCACCAAAGGAAAGTCATGCCTGACCAACCTGACTTCTATGACAAAATAACTGGCTCTGTGGACATGGGGAAGTCAGTGGATGTGATATACCTTGACTTTAGCAAAGCTTTTGATACGGTCTCCCACAGTATTCTTTCCAGCAAATTAAGGAAGTATGGATTGGATCAGTGGACTATAAGGTGGATAGAAAGTTGGCTAGATTGTCAGGCTTATCAGGTAGTGATCAACAGCTCAATGTGTGGTTGGTGGTTGGTTTCAAGCAGTGTGCCCCAAGGGTCACTTATGGGGCTGGTTTTATTCAATATCTTTATTTTATTAATGACCTGGATGAGGGGATGGATTGTACCCTCAGCAAGTTCACAGATACAGGCTGGGGACTGACTGGCTAAGCAGCAGTTCAGCAGAAAAGGACCTGGGGATTACAGTAGATGACAAACTGGATATGAGTCAATAATGTGCCCTTGTAGCAAAGAAAGCTAAAAGCAAATTAGCATAGGAGGAGCATTGCCAGCAGATTTGGAGAAGTGATTTCTCCCCCTTATTCGGCACTGGCGAGGCCACATCTGGAGTATTGTATCTAATT